AGGAGGGTTGTCCGCCAGGAATCCTAGAAGGAGGGGAAGTGGGACTCGAGGGGCGGGATGCTCAAGTTCTGCTGTCAGGTTAATTTGGAGGGGAAGTGTGCTCAAGAGGGGTTCTTAGAAAAGGAGGAAGTGGCCCTTGAGCTGGTGGGCAGGGTCTCCTGTGTCACCCCACTGAGCTCTCTGGGCCGGGGCCCACGTGGGCGTGAGGATGTCCTGGGTGCTGTCACCAGCTGTCTGGGTTCAGGGCAGTTCTGGATGTGGACCCATTGTGGGGTCCCCAGCCTGGATGCGGATTGAGAGCAGGACCCCACTGGGCCTGGGGGCAGGAGGTACAGACAGCAGGAGGGCGCAGGGCTGGGCCTCCCCCTCAGGTGCTGGCTCTGCCTGCCCACCCACCCTCCCCTTCACGTCCCCCTGGCGTCCCTTCTCCCCACAGCGTGACCTGGACTTCACCATCGACCTGGACTTCAAGGGCCAGCTGTGCGAGCTCTCCTGCTCCACCGACTACCGGATGCGCTGAGGCGGCGCCGGCTTCTCCCCCGGCCGGGCCGGCCCTGCACGGGCCCAGGGGCTGCGGCCTTAGGTGGTTTTGGGGCTCCCCCTTCCTCTCCCTCTTGCAGAAGGGGATTTTAGGGGCCTGGGCTGGGGGGGAGGGCACATCGTGACTGTGTTTTTTCATAACTTATGTTTTTATATGGTTACATTTACGCCAATAAATCCTCAGCTGAGTCGGCTCAGCTTCCTGGGGGCCAAGGGGTGTGTTGGGGCTTCTTCAGCCCGTGCTGAGACGGCAGCCAGGAGCCCTGGAATGGCTCATGCAGGCCCCTCACTTCCCTCTTGTGTGCCCTGCCCCCGGGCCCTGTTCCCTTTTGTCCCACTGGGCAGGGTTCCTGCTCCTGGCTGCCCTGCTGGGCTGGAGAGGGGTGGGTGTGGGTTCCAGCGCAGCTGGGCCCTTACATTTCCCGGAAAGCTGGCTCCCCCGCCGCCCAGCCCACATGGATTCTCTTTGAGTGGTTTCCTGTCCCTAACTCCAAGGCTTGGCCAGCACTACTGGCACGGCCTTGCCCTGCCTCTGCCCCTGGGGAAGGCTGAGTCTAGGGGTGCAGGTGTTGGGCGTGCCTGCTCCCTACCACAGCATGACTTGCCAGTTGGGGAGAGGTGGGTGGGGGTCTTGTGAAAAGATGGCTGCCCCTCAGCTCTGGGCAGCCCTTCTGCGCGTCTCCAGTGGCCCGTTCACAGAGCCCGGCGCAGGACCTGCAGGGCACTGTCCACCAGGCATCATGACGCCCTGGCACAGCCTCAACACTTGCCCACACCTGCTCTTGAGCTACTGCCCACAGTCCCTGTATGTGGCCCACGTGCCCGTAAGTCATCTAGTGCCCGAGACTCCCGGCCCTGCTCCTTTCCTGGAAGCTGGTGGTGTCGCCTCAGCCCGGTGCCAGCCTGCGCGCATCCAGAGAGCTGCCGGGTGTAGACCCAAGCGCACCGCCAGGCGACTGTGCGGTGGCCTCTTTGCAGGGGGAGGGGAAGGGGCCAGGATATGATCTTGCCGGTCGAGTGACAGGCCTAGACTCTGGCCTCAGTTTTCCCCACCTGCGGCGTGGGCGCCTGACTCAGGCGCTCCAACTCGGAAAGGGGGCGGGGCCGCACCGGGCTCCCCGCAATGGCCACGCACGTCTCGCCTCCATTTCTCCCGGCCTCCGACCTAGGGGACCAGGGCTGCGCGGGCAGGTGAGAAAGGCCAGTGGCGCCCACATGAGTGGTGTGGGGAGGTGGGCTGAGCGTGCGACCCGGCTGCCGCGTCCTGCGGGGCCTGGGCTCCAGCAGGCCACGCTCCCTCCCCAGGGCCACCGGCCTTTCTCACCTGCCGGGCACCTGTGTCCCCGCGGCAGGCGCCAGGCGCACCCTCAGAGTTCATACTGGCTCTGCCCCGCCCCGCCAAGGAGCTCTGCGGGAGAGGTGGTCACGAGCCCCAGCACCCCCAGCTATGGGCCCCGGGCCAGACTCCCTCTCTGCCCCGGGCAGCGTCGAGGAAGGCAGCGCAGTGCCCAGCTCACTGGGTGGCCCGGGCACGTCTCCGCCCCCCCCCCCCCGGGTCTCAGCTAACCCGTCTGTGTACTGGAGCCTCGACCCCGCGTCTCCTGTGCCCGGACTCCCCTTGCTGGGCTCGCCCGGGGCCCTCCCCACCGCCGGGCCGCGCGGAGCGGGGCCCAGCGCGCACGGACCCGCGCTCGGAGCCGCATCGAGGGGGCTCTTATTTCCGTCCCTGCCCGTCCCGGCCGCGCTCCGGCACGGTCTCCCCTCGGCCCAGCATCTCCCGGGAGGATCCGCCGGGCCGCCCGCTTGACCAGTCACTGCGGCGGCGCCTTCGCGGCAGCCCGAAGCCCGCAGCTGCGGCCGCCGAGCGCGGCGTGGGTGGGCGGCCCCGAGCACACAGCCCGCCCTCCCGCGTGGCGGGGCCGAGGGCCCGGGTGCCCCGAGCGCGTGGCTTCACGTCACCCAGAGTGGGCTGCGGGCTCCGAGCTGGGCCTGGTTCCGTGAGAGAAAGAGACACGAGCGAACTGGGAAGCCCGGCGCCGGGGACTCGGGGGCGGGAGGCTGCTTAGCTCCGGGACGCCGGGGGGAGCGGGCGGGGCTGGGGTGCGGGGCGGGCGGGGATTGGCCACGGGGACTCCGGGGGGCGGGAGGAGCGCGGAGATTAGGAGGGGCGGGGACAAGGGGCCGAGATTTTGGAAGGAGGCGGGGCTTGATACCCGGCGAGGACAGCGCGAGCAAGAAACCGGGGTTCCTGGCTGTTGGACAATCGGGGGCGCGCCGGAGCCCCGCGGGCTCAGCGACCAAGTCCCGGGCTCGTTGCACTAGAGCTGGACACATGCGAGTGGGAGCCTTGGGGCCCGGCGCTCTAAGTCGGGGATCGGGGCGTGTTCTCGGGCTCGGTCTTCGGGTCCAGAGTGGTGAGTACCGGGCCGCAGGGCCCGAGCTCCGGCGTGGGGCCGAGAGCGGGGTCTGGGGCTGGGCGCGCGGGCCCCTCCATCACCCGGCCTCGCTGCTCCCCGCACAGCCTCAGCATCCCTGACGGCGAGGCATGCGCAGTGGGGCGCTTCCCTCCCCCTCCAGCCCCAGGCGGGGGGGAGGGGAGGCCGGGCCACCCCGGAGGGGATGAATTTAAGGACAACCTCCCTCCGATCCCTGCCCCCACCCGCCACCGCTCGGAATGGGAAGCGGAAATAGGGCGGCAGTGCCAGCGTCCGGCAGGTGTTCGTTTCCAATGGGCCTGGGATAGCGCTGGTCTCGGGACCCCACAACTCGCCCAGGACCGGTTTCCGCCACCACCCCCGGACCCTGAAAGTCCCCTGCAGGGGAGGCACTGCCCCCGCACCCTGTTCTTAGCCCAGTCAGAAAAAAGAGCTTTACGCGACTTCTCCCTCCTCCCTCTCTATGCGTTCACAGAGGTCCCCAATTGACGTCTCCGGTGCTTAGGGAAGGGGGAGCCGGGGTCCTCCATTCCCGGGTCTGCGGGAGGAGGGCACCGGGGGCCTGGAGGATGACTCTCGCCCTGCCCCCCAGAGCGTCATGGCTGAAGCGCGCCAGGCCGAGGGGTTCCCTTCCTCGCTGACCTCGGACGGGGCAGAAGCGGAGCTCAGTGCCCCGGTGCTGCAGGAGATCTACCTCTCCGGACTGCGCTCCTGGAAGAGGCATCTCTCCCGTTTCTGGGTGAGGAGGGCTGCGGCCTGGTTTTCTCCCTGGGTGCCAGGAGCCTATATTCGGCATCCTGATGTCTGAGACCCTATCACCACCCCACGCCCCCCAGGAATTTCAGCGTCTACTTCCAGGTCCCCTTAGAGCCCTTCCTGGATTCTCTGGGGCTCGCTTTCAGTATCCTCAACCTCACCTATGGGGAACCCCTATTTAACCTCTTGCACCCAATACCTGGACAACCCACCTCCTTTTCCCACACCACCAAACACAACTTCCACCCCAATTTCTGCAATGCCTTCCCCTTCCCTTCACATGCACCTGTTACCTTAAGCTTAATCTTTAGATTCTAAGCTCGTTGCTCCATTTGCAGAACCACAAGACTCGATCAAGATCTTGAGTAGCCTACACCCCAAATCCTGAAGGTCTCTCCTTTCCCCGGCCCTCGCTCACTGGGTCTGAGAAGGCCCTCCTTGCCCCTGCTCCAGAACCCACAGTCCTCCTCTGCGGGGTACATGGTAGCCTCCCTACTTTTCCAAGCTGAGTATCCTGCCTTCATTTGCCAACCTGCCGCCTTCCAGGAATCTGGAAAAGCCAGATTCCTGCTCTGTGCTCCCGAATGCGTGCATCCAGCATCTGCCCCGCCTGTGTCCGCACAGGTGTCCCGGGCTCTGGACTCCGGTTCCATCTCTCTCTGGAGTATCCCCGCTGGTCACAGCCTCTCTTGATAGAGGTCTTGAACCCCTGTGGGGTCTGTCAGGACTGAGTTTGAATCCTGCTCCGCATTTGCTGGCTGTGTAGCCTTGGACAAGCAGCCTCAGTTTCCCCACAGGTAGGAGGGGGTGAAGACAGTACCATCCTCAAGGATGATCAAAAAGATTCTGTTATAGAGCAACCCCGATATTAAACGGGTTCCTGGCTGTGGGTCCTCACCCGCACGCTTTAAAGGGACTTATGAATACTCTACTACAGACACACGCAAAAGGTTAATAAAAGGTTTATTTACAAGAGAAAAGGAAATAAGGAAAATGTACAACTCAGGGAGAAAATAGGGAAATAAAGTCTTTAATGCGTCCTACCCGATCCGATGACCTGGAAACCCCAAAGTCACTCTCAGAGCTGACCGGACGCTGCTGCTGGCCAAGAGCCCAAAAAATGGAGAGAGCCCCCAAAGCCCACGTGTCTGCCTTTTGTATCCACCTGGCTGCTTAACCCCACCCTCAGGTCCCAGCCACCTTCCCTTTGGTGGTGATGGGATTTGGAGTTCCCAGTGTCTTTGGCTTTGACCTGGGGTGGGGGTGGAGTCCACAAAGCCTGTATGGAATTTGCTTTGGGACAGCCTTTTCCCCCTAACAATTCAACACGTTCCTGCACGTGAGCACTAACCAAGCCTGGCCAGTGGCAAGGGCTGAATAAGTGTCAGTGCTTCATTCATTCAATGACTATCTAGGGAGCATGTAAGGACCCCCCACTGTTGGGGGCTCTGTGGACATGGCAGGGAGCAAGAGAGACAGAATCCTGCTCGGCAGTGAAGATAAACAAGCAGACGTGCAGTGTGTGAGATGGTGATGCAGGCTCGGAGAACAAGGAGGCGGCAGGAAGAGGGCGCTGGGGGCTTGGAGTAAATGAAGGACCAGCCCAGGCTCAGGGATTCTTTCCCTGCGGCAGCTGAGCGGGCTGATGGGCACCTCGATCACCATATTGGTTGACAAAATACAGCCATCTCATCCAGTGGGTAAAGAACCACCACCCCAGAGCCCCAAAGAGCCCCTCCAGCCTTGCCCATGGGGCCCCCAGGCCTCCGGCCAACCCAGCATCTAAAGGTTTAACATACACATACACATGGAGGAAAGTGAGAAACAGAAAGGAGAAGTCACTCGGGTAGTTAGTGACAGAGAAGAGATGAGTCCACAGTGTGGGCTCCAGAGCTCAAGTTCAAAACCATGGTCTCCAAGGTCTTCCATTCACTCAATGTGAGAAGGGCCTCCCTGGTGGCGCAGGGGTTAAGTCTCAGCACTATGAAGCTATCAGCAGCCACTGCAGCACCAGTTCGATCCCCGGCCAGGGAGCTACCCACATGGCGCAGCAGACCTCTCCTGTCTCCCCGCTGCTCCCCTCAGCAGTGGATTTCAGTGACTCTGCTCCCCACTCTACCTCTGGTGAATCCTCTCACCCCACATACCTCTGGCCTACATCCCAGCTCTTGAATGCATAAATAAATGGAATAAATCTTTAAAAAAAAAGTCATCTGTAGCTCACATCGCTGAGACTGTAGTTAGTGACCTAGCACTTTTATTTATTCCATGGCTATGGAGTTCTAGAAGGTCTGCCAAGCTTCAGACCTGGCTGTACATGGGGAATCATTTTAATTTCAGGGTCCTTGTCCCACCTGAAGAGTAACCTCCTCCAGGGAGCTCTCCTTGACTCCCTCATGCTAAGCAACCTGCCATCACTGGACTCCTGGGCCTTGTCCTACCACCATTACCATTTGTTTCACTCTGCACTAACCTCCCTGATGGCAGAACCCAGGTCTGTCTGTTCCCCACTGGATCTTGAGCACCCAGCTCAAGATGTTCGATAAACGTTCAATAAATGTCTAAGAACAGGGCCTAGTGGAGGGGATGAATGATTGGATGGCTGCCCTTTCCTCCCTGCAGAATGACTTCCTCACTGGTGTGTTCCCCGCTAGCCCTCTCAGCTGGCTCTTCCTCTTCAGTGCAATCCAGCTTGCCTGGTTCCTCCAACTGGATCCTTCCCTAGGACTGATGGAAAAGATCAAAGAATTGCTGCCTGACTGGTGAGCTCCCACACTTCAGCCCAGTGACCCCTCTAGCTACTCTCCCTCAACCCAGTAAACTTCTCCATCAGTGTGGCATGCATGATAAAAGAAAGTTAATTTTGGAGACTTAGTTTGGGTCAGATTAACAAAGTTATAGCATTGGTAAAAAAAGGAGGTGATGATCTCCCTTCTATTTGCATAATTTCCCATCCCAGCTGCTTCTTGCTGAGAGGGATGGTTACAACCTAGGAAATAATAGCAAAAGTATAAGCTCTGCCAGCATCTAGCTGTGTAAGCAAGAATGGCAAGATACTTTATCATTCTTCGTGTCACGATCTTCATCTGTAAAATTGGGGTAATAATAATTGCTTCTGGGCCTCCATGGTGGCACAAGGGGTTAAGCACCACACTATGAAGCAATCCGCAACCTCTGTAGCATGAGTTCAATCCCTGGCCGGCCAAGGAGCAGCCCACATGGCGCAGCAGACCTCTCCTGACTCGCCCGCTGCTCCCCTCAGCAGTGTGTTTCAGTCATTCCTCCTGTTCTGTTCCCCACTCTGTCTCTGGTGAATCCTCTCACCCCCCGCACCTCTGGCCTGTGCCCCAGTTCTTATACGCATAAGTGGATGAATCTTTAAAAAATAATAATAATAATTGCTTCTTAGGATGGTTGGAAGAGTTAAAGATTTATTTACTGAAATACACTGCTGAGGGCCTCCCCAGTGGCGCAGCGGTTGAGCGCTAGCTTTAAAAGCCGCCCGCGGCCTCTACAGAGCCAGTTCGATCCCCGGCTGCTCCCTGGCCACTGGAGGAGGGTCCCACATGGCACACAGACCTCTCCTGCCGCCCACTGCTCCCCTCAGCAGTGTACTTCGGTCCTTCTGCCTGCTCTGCTCCCCGCTCTGGCTCTGGTGAATTCTCTCACCCTCCCGCGCTTCTGACTGTACCCAGTGCTTGTATAAATAAATAAATAAATCTTTAAAAAATAAAAAAATTTAAAAAAAGAAATAAAAAAAAAAGAAATACACTGCTGAAATACACTGCTGTGGAGAGCAGCGGGCGAGTCAGGAGAGGAGCGGGTGAGTCAGGCGAGGTCTGCTGTGCCATGTGGGTAGCTCCCTGGCCAGGGATCGAACTCATGCTGCAGTGGCTGTGGATAACTTCATAGGTTGCGTCTTAACCCCTTGCGCCACCAGGGAGGCCCTGGAAGAATTAAACAAAATCATGTAGGTGGGATATTCAGTATGGTACTGGGGGCCACTAAGTGGGAGTGGTTGTATAATTGCAGTAGTGGCTCTCATTTTTGGGAAAGGATTGGAAACCAAGTGCAGGTGAAGTGACAGTTTCTTACTCAGGGGTTAGTCCTCCTGGAGAAGGACTTTCAGATCTGTGCAGACAGCTCCAAAGGGCAGATCCAGGATCAGAGGTAGAAATCTCCAGGGGGTTGGATGTACTTATTCTACAGAGGGGCGGTGAAGGGCCAACATCCTCTAAGTGGGATTTGCTCATATTTATCTGAGTGCAGCTTTGCAACCATGTTCATTCAGTGTAACTTTAGACCAACGTTTCCTACACTGGAGTTTGTGTTGGAATCACTGGAGGGCTTGCTGAAACACTGACTGCGGGGCTCCTCCCCAGGTGGTCTTAGTAGGTCTGCGTGGGACCTGGGAATTTGCATTCTCAGCTGACTCCCAGTTACAGGCTCCACTTTGCAAAGCACTGCCTTGGAGTATAATGTGCTCTCTAGGAGTGGAGGAAATACCAGCTTCCACTCCTACCAATTTCCATGGGAAGTGTCTTTAGAAGCTCAGTGTTCCCACAGTCCTGGTGGTGGGCTGACAGATCCCGCCTACTTCACAGAGAGGAAACTGAACTTCCCTGACTGCCTCTAATTCCACAAGCTATGCCTCTGACAACCAAAAGACCAGGGTCGGGGGATATTAGGAAAGGCAGGGCTGGGTGGGGGCTGAAGGGGGGTTGGGTTCTGAGGCGGAGGCTGAGGCCCAGGCCCATCCTATCTCTTCCCACAGGGGCGGACAGCACCACAGGCTCCGAGGGGTCCTGGCAGCAGCACTGTTTGCATCTTGTCTTTGGGGAGCCCTGATTTTCACACTTCACGTGGCCCTGCGGCTTCTTCTGTCTTACCACGGCTGGCTCCTTGAGCCCCATGGAACCATGTCCTCACCCACCAAGACCTGGCTGGTATGCGGGAGGCAGAGCCTGAGTCGGGTCTCCCTCGCTCTGGGTTTCCACCTCCCCTCTTCCATCTCTGCGCCCCCTCTCTCTCCCTCGCTGTCCCGTTGTCCCGGTGGGTGGCCACACACCGCCTGGCCCCAGGCCTCAGCCCCAGCGAGGGGTTTGCTGATCTCCACGTTTTGGCTTCCGTGCAGGCCCTGGTCCGCATCTTCTCTGGCCGCCACCCCATGCTCTTCGGTTATCAGCGCTCCCTGCCGCGGCAGCCCGTGCCTTCCGTGCAGGACACTGTGCACAAGGTGGGCTCCGTGTCCCGGGGATGGGGCAGGGCCCGAGCCCCGAGGCGGGGGCTGCTGACCTACCCTCTCCCCGGCGTCGCCCCGCAGTACCTGGAGTCTGTCCGGCCCATCCTCTCAGACGAGGACTTCGACTGGACGGCCTTCCTGGCGCAGGAGTTCCTGAGGCTGCAGGCCTCGCTGCTGCAGTGGTACCTGCGGCTCAAGTCCTGGTGGGCGTCCAATTACGTGAGTGTCCCTCCAGGAAGGCCAAGGTTCTGAGCCCGCCCTCCGAGGCCTGCCCCGCCCCTCGACACGCCCACGGCCGCGAGCCCTGCCGCGATTGGTCTTCGCCGCTGGCGTACCCACGCTGAGCCCCGCCCCCCGCTCCTTGCGCTGAGCCCCGCCCTCTCACTCCCTTTTATTTATTTATTTATTTTAAAGATTTATTTATTTATGCATACAAGAACTGGGGTGCAGGCCAGAGGTGTGAGGGGGTGAGAGGATTCACCAAAGAGAGGCGGGAGCAGAGCAGGCAAATGTACTGAAATCACTGCTGAGGGGAGCAGCCGGTGAGCCAGGAGAGGTCTGCCGCGCCATGTGGGTAGCTCCCTGGCCGGGGATCGAACTCGTGCTGCAGTGGCTGCAGGTAGCTTCATTGGTTGCGTCTTAACCCCAGCGCCACCAGATGCGACGATATTCCGACTTCCTCCTTACTCCCCAATGTTCTCAAACCTTTCATCACCTGCCTACATTTTGAACCCCGCCCACCAGGCTCTAGCTTTTGGAGCCCACTTTCTACTAATGTAAACTCCGCCTCCAGGGCCCGCCCACCTCCAGAGCCCCGTCCCAACCTCCAGGTATTTGAACCAGAAATCCAGGGGGCAGCCAGCCTCTGAGTCTCAGCCCTGTCAGTCAGCCTGCCCACAGAATAGTTCTACTCCTCCCTCACGACACCTCCAAATGGACTTCTAATCAAAGTTCAGGAGCGAAGCCCTTGATTGTTGAGCTGAGCTGAGGTCCTTTGGAAACGAAGACACAGATCTCCAGGTGGGGATTTACCCAGACCGGGCCTTAAAGACCCCCTATTCCGTGGGAGCTTGTGATGAGTTGGAGGGGACTGATGGGGTGGGTCAGAGGGGGCTTGTGCTGCATGAGAGAATCTGGGTTTCAGGAGGAAAAAAGTATTAGAGCTGAGCCTGGAGGGTTGGAGGGAAATTGAAACTGCCTAGTTGGCAGGAAGGAGGAGTGAGAGCTCTTTCAAAAATTAAAATTTTTAGGAGCCTCCCTGGTGGTGCAGGGTTTAAAGTCAGCACTACCAAGCTGTTGGCAGCTACTGCACTATGAGTTCGATCCCCAGCCAGGGAGGTGACGCTCAGGGCGAAGCAGACCTCTCCTGTCTCACCTGCTGCTCCCCTCAGCAGTGTGTTTTAGTAGATCTGCCTGTTCTGCTCCCCACTCTGTCTCTGGGGAATACTCTTAGCCCCCACACCTCTGGCCTACACCACAGTTATTGTATGCATAAATAAAAATAAATCTTTAAGAAACTGATTTTTTTTTTTTTTTTTTTTTTTTTTTTTTTATAGAGGCATGCTTTATTTATTTGTTTGCTGGTTTGTTTGTTTGTTTTTTGTTTATACATGCACTGGGTACAGTCAGAAGCGCGGGAGGGCGAGAGAATTCACCAGAGCCAGAGTGGGGAGCAGAGCAGGCAGAAGGACCGAAGTACACTGCTGAGGGGAGCAGCGGGCGGCAGGAGAGGTCTGCGCGCCATGTGGGACCCTCCTCTGGTGGCCGGGGAGCAGCCGGGGATCGAACCGGCGCCGCAGAGGCCGCGCGCAGCTTCGCAACCCAGCGCTCAACCGCTGCGCCACCGGGGAGGCCCAGAAACTGATTTTTTAAAAGTGCATACACACATACTTTATATGTACACATATGTATATATATATATACACATACTATATATAGTGTATTTATATCACTATCTGTCTAGCTCATTTATCTATGTTGGTACCTCTAAGGCACTGACATTTATAACATACACCATTATCTTGAGTCCAAAAAGAAAGAAAAAAAAGCTGAGCCCAGCTTGTCTTCCAACACAGCACTTCATTATCACTTAGACTTTTTATATAGGTCGATCCTCGTTATTTGTGGATTCCGGATTTGCCTGTTTGCCTGCTCGCTAAAATGTATGTGGAGCCCCCAAGTCAACCCTCTGGCTGGTTCCTGCTCATCGTGTACACACGCAGAGCACAGAATATTCCAGCTGACTGATAAATTCCAAGCTGAGGTGGAAGAAAGTGTTTCTTGCCCCTTGTTTTAATTCTCACACTGTCAACCAGTGTCCTATATGCTATCTGTTTAGTTTCACATTGTTTGCATCTTGGGGCTCTTGGTTTATTTTGCTGTTTTCAGTGACCCCCAGAGAGACAGCTGGCAGCTGCCTAGAGGCTAAGTGCAGGAGGCTGGTATTTTCTGCTTACTTAGATTGTGTCCAGTCCCGGCTGCTGTAAAGGATGCTCCAGCAGACATCATGGAGCATGTAATTTTTTGAGTTGTTGGTTTCCTATTCTCTAGCTAGATATCAAAGCGGGAATGCTGGGTGAGAGGGTAGCATCATTTTAGAGATTTCATTTTTTATTACAGTAAAACGTGCAAAACAAAATTTGTCACTTCACCATTTATGCGAATGATCTCAGTGGAATCATACACTATCTTCTTGTGTCTAACCCCTGTCATTTAGCACAATGTTTTTGTGTTTCCTCCACATTGTAACCTGCATCAGAGCTTCATTCTTTTTTACATTGCTATTAACATTGCATTCTATGGACAGAACACATTTTGGTTATCCATTGGTCTGCTCATGGACATTTATTTATTTTAAAGATTTATTTATTTATGCATATGAGAACAGGGGTACAGGCCAGATGGGTGGGGGGTGAGAAGATTCACCAGAGACAGAGTGGGAGGCAGAACAGGCAGATCTACTGAAATACGCTGCTGAGGGGAGCAGCAGGCAAGACAGGAGAGGTCTGCTGTGCCCTGATGGCCACCTCCCTGGCTGGGAATAGAACTCGTGCTCCAGTGGCTGTGGATAGCTTCATAGTGTGGAGACTTAACCCCTTGCGCCACCAGGGAGGCCCCTGCTCATGGACATTTAGATGATTGTAGTTTTTTAAGTCTCAGATGGGATTGTTGCATGTTTTTCACTTGACAGCTTGTCTTGGCACTCACTCTGTGGCAGTTGTTCTTTTTAACAGCCGTATACTATTCCATAACCTCCATTCTTGGGGTTTAGCTAAGTAACTGATCTATTGATGAACCTCTAGGTTTTTGCCAGTTACTGATCATGATGGCCTTCTTTACCGAACCCCACCCTTTCTGTTCGACACAGCAAGGTCTTGGGGGACTCACAACTTCCACTACCTTCTTCCCATTCTCCCCCAGCTATCCCAGCTGTGTGTCTTTCTGCCCCACTTACAGGTCAGTGACTGGTGGGAAGAATTTGTGTACCTGCGATCCCGGAACTCGCTGATGGTGAACAGCAACTATTATATGATGGTGAGAAGGGGAGAAAGGAGTGAAAGACTCGGGAGGGGTGGGGTTCATAGTTCCCCAGGCTGAGCGTTGAGGCATCTGGGTAGAATGCAGGATTTGTGACTATGGCCTGAGTCACTGTCTGAAACTCAACATCCGGCCTTCTGTAGGGGCCAGGGCCTGTGTTTGAGGTCAATGTCTCCCCCATCAGGAACGAACCTGATCCCCAGCATTTTTCTCTCCCCTGGCCTGGCCTCTAGGATTTCCTGTACGTCACCCCCACGCCGCTTCAGGCCGCTCGGGCGGGGAACGCCGTCCATGCCCTCCTCCTGTACCGCCACCACCTGAACCGCCAGGAGATTCTGCCAGTAAGAGCCCCCCGCTGCCCCGCCCGGGGGCTGGAGGGGAGGCTGGGGGGCCACGTGGCCCTGGAGGCAGTTCACGAGCCCACACATCCTGCAGACTCTGCTGATGGGGATGCGGCCCTTATGCTCTGCCCAGTATGAGAAGATATTCAATACCACCCGCATTCCTGGCGTCCAGAAAGGTGAGACCCGCTCCCTCTCTCTGACAGAGGCCCAACAGTGAACTGACTGACACTGTGCGCTCCTGAGCCAGCCACCCGGGTTAGCATCCCGCTCCACGGCTCCCGAGCTGTGTGACCTTGGGCTGATTATTACCCTTCTGAGCCTCAGCTTCCTCACCTCTAAGTGACTGCTTAGACGGGTGTAAGCCACACGGGGAATGCCCAGTGGGTGGTCATCATTCGCATTCCCGGGTGTCCGGCCCGCGCCCCCACACCTCTGCTAACGCCGCCCCCAGACCACATCCGCCACCTCGGAGACAGCAGACACGTGGCCGTCTTCCACCGGGGCCGATTCTTCCGCGTGGGGACCCACTCCCAGGGCAGCCTGCTCTCCCCGCGAGCCCTGGAGCAGCAGTTTCAGCGAATCCTGGATGACCCCTCCCCTGCCTGCCCCCACGAGGAGCATCTGGCGGCCTTGACCGCAGCTCCCAGGTGAGCGCCCGAGGGCAGCGGGCCCGGAGGCAGCCAGCGCTGAGTGGGGAGGCCAGAGGGGGCAGGTGGTGGAGGCGGGCCGGTGGAGGGCCACCTGGCTCAGGCACGTCCCCCGACAGGGACATGTGGGCCCAGGTGCGGAGTTCGCTGAAGAGCCAGGCCCAGGATGCCCTGGAGGCGGTGGAAGGGGCTGCGTTCTTCGTCTCACTGGACTGTGAGCCTGCAGGGCTCAGCAAGGAGGACCCCGCAGCATCTCTGGATGCCTATGCCCACGCCCTCTTGGCTGGCAGGGGCCACGACCGGTGAGTTTGCAAGAGCGTGGACTCCTCCTGGTCCTGAGACCCCAGAACACAATATCTAGACCTGGGATACTGGTTACCTGACAAGCAGCCCCTGAACCCCAAGACCTGGGCAGTTTCCAGATCCAGGGTCTCCCCAGATCAGAGAACCCCAGGTCCAAGGCTTCTGAGACCTGGGACCCAGAGAATCCCCCAGGCCCTGCACCTCAGACCCTGGGACACCAGCTCTGATCACCACCAAACCGCTACACCTAGATCCTCAGATCCAGAATCACCCCCTCCCCCTACCACAACCCCAGGCTGGGAAACATGGAATCGTTGGACCTGAATGCAAGTGTTCCAGGCCCAGGACCCCAGATCCAGGACCCCCAGACCATGAGGCCCTCAGACAACTTCCTGGAGGCCCACCAGGCATCATTCTGATTTCTGAGGTCCCTAGGAGACTCCCCCTAATCTCCAGCACCCTGTAAACCTTGAACTTTTCTCTGAAGGTTCTCTCAAAGTCCACCAACTCTCCAAACCCTAGTGACATCTCTGAGACCACCCAGAAACTCCCAGCCTCTGAGAGATCCCACTCCACGACCCCAGCCCTAATTCCCAGATCTTCCCAAGCTGAAGTCCCTGCATGTCCCCCCCAGAGGACCCAGAGTTCATTCCTGACCTCGCTCTTCGGTTCTCACTGTGGTTTGGCAAATCCTTCTACAGATGGTTTGACAAATCCTTCACCCTAATCGTCTTCTCCAACGGGAAGCTGGGTCTCAGCGTGGAACACTCGTGGGCCGACTGCCCCATCTCAGGACACATGTGGGAGGTAGGGTAGTCAGTACCCCCAAAACCCCATCCAGGGACCTCCCTGGTGGTGCAAGGGTTAAGTCACAGCACTATGAAGCTATCCACAGCCTCTGCAACAGGAGTTTGATCCCTGGTCAGGGAGGTGACACACATGGCACAGCAGATCTCTCCTGTCTCCCCCGCTGCTCCCCTCAGCAGTGGATTTCAGTAGATCTGCCCGTTCTGTTCCCCACTCTGTCTCTGTTGAATCCTCTCACCCCCACCCTGCACCTCTGGCCTGTACCCCGGTTCTTGTTTGCATAAATAAATCTGAAAAAAAAAAAACCAAAAAAACATAAACAAAAAAACCAAAACCCTTCAGGGGCCACCCTCCCCATTCTCAAGACCTTCCTCTCAGGGTGTTAAGGCCAAAAGAAAAAGGAAGACTCAGCGAGGCAGAGACCTTCCTTTGACAAACAGGCAGTTGGGGCTCAGAGTAAGGAAGTGATTTCCCCAGCGTCACAGCTGCGCCTTAGAATGAGGCCATGAATCCAGAATGTTTGAGGTCCAGGGTGAGGCCTGGCACCCGCACCACAGTAAGTCAGCGTGCTCTGCCAGCGCTGATTCGCTGTGTGACCTCGGGCGAGTGACTCTCCTTCTCTGAGTCTCAGCTTCTTCAGGTGAAGAATTGAACCTGCCCTTACCTTGAAGCTCCCTTCCAGTCCTAAGCACCTCTATTCTCTTTAGCCCCCCAAACACAGGGGATGGTGTCTGCACCCCCGGGGGTCCTATTCTTCCGTGGTGCTGCCTGGGGGGTTGGGATGGGACTTGGGGTGGGTGGGGGTCAGCATATCTGAGGATGACCCAGCTAAGCCGTGACTCCTCCCTGCCTGTGTCTCATTTGTAAAATGGGTTTTGTTTTCTCCCTTTGAGGATTTATGCACAAGAAACTCCCAACTCAGTGGAACCTCAACCCTTCAGGCCCATTCATGTCCACATAACAGTGCTCAGGGGCTGCCTCCGCCCCCAGGGACTCAGGAAGGGAGGTGCCTGGCTAGAGGCCCTCGGTCTTGGGGAGGAATCTGACAGCCTTTGCTCCTGCCTAGTTCACCCTGGCCACAGAGTGCTTTCAGCTCGGCTACTCAGCAGACGGCCACTGCAAAGGCCTCCTGGAGCCCACGCTGCCCCAGCCGCAGCGCCTGCACTGGGACCTTCCAGACAAGGTAAGGCCAGGTCTCTGGTCTGCTCTTCCAAGTCCCCAAATTCCAAACTTTGATGTAAAATTCATTGCCACCTCCAAGCTCAAAATCCACCCCACTGCAAACCCATACCCCACTGCCTATCAAGCCAAACTCATCCCCAGCCCTGACTCTAACCCTAGCCCTACCCCCAATCCCATCCTTAACCCCCCCCACGTCAACCCAGCCTATCCCACTCAAACCCCAAATTCGTTCCTGCCCCAGACTCATCTCCATCCCCAACACCATTACCATAGTTAATTCAATCCCATCTCCAACCCTAACTCCATCCGCAACCCAATGAATCCCATCCCCAACCCATCCAACCCCCAACCCCATCCCGTGCTCCAACCCCAGCCTCTTCCCCAACTCCAATCTGGTCCGTATACCCAACACCATGCCCATCCGGCCCCTACTGCATGCCACCTTCACTGCCATCATTACTGCCACCTAGAGCCCAGCCCTCCGGCTCCATTCTCTTGTCTGATGCATGCATGTCCACATTCCACCCCAGCCCAAGCTCCACGCCCTCTGCCTCCAGGACCACTCCCAATCCTCGCCCCTCATTCCTCACTCCCTTCTCCGGCAGATCCATCCATCCATCTCTCTGGCCCTGAGGGGAGCCCAGACCTTGTCTGGAAGCATCGACTGCCATGTCTTCCCCTTCTCCCACTTCGGCAAGAGCTTCATCAAACACTGCCACCTCTCCTCAGACAGCTTCATCCAGATGGCCTTGCAGCTGGCCTACTTTCGGGTCAGTCGGGCTCCCAGTCCCCCTCACAGGACCTCAGCCACTCTGGGACCCCAAGACTTGCCTCTTCCATCCTTTCAGTGACGCTTCTTGGTCATTGCCATTGTGGGTCCGCCCTTTTGGGAGGAGGCTGGATGTCTGGACAGAGGTGGCTCAGATCTGTGCAGACCTCCCGAGCCCCGTGACAGGTCCTCTCCTCCTTATCCACCAGGACAGGGGTCAATTCTGCTTGACTTATGAGTCGACCATGACTCGCTTGTTCCTGGAAGGCCGGACGGAGACAGTGCGATCCTGCACGAGGGAAGCCTGCAACTTCGTGCGAGCCATGGAGGACAGAGAAAAAACGGTGGGTGAGGGCCTGCTCTGAGGCTTTCCTTATTTGCACATTCTCAGGCATTGGTGGAGCATGTACTGATGGCCAGGGCCACGTGGATATTAGGGATAGGGGGGAGCCAGGCCTGGTCTCTCATCTTAAGGAGCTCGCTAATGTGGGGAGACAGAGGGAGTTCAGCTTAGTCTCCATGGGGCAGCACCCGAGAAGGATCCGCGATTGCACAAGGAAGCTCTCTTTGATTCTTTAACCTCCAAGTGTGACTTCCCTTTGTACAATTCTTCATGTGCCCTTTCTGCTCAGAACCACCCCCCTACTCCGCCCCACCCCAACACCTCTTTTCCCTCTCAGGCACTACCTATGAGGCATTGTGATTCAGTAGAAGGAGCTTGGACTCTGGAGTTAGACCTGGGGGTCCAGCTGGTTCTATCTTGCTGTGTGCCCCTGGGCAAGTGAATTTCCCTCTCTGAGCCTCGGGTTTTCTCTCTGTACAATAGAGCCTCTATCTCTGCCTTGCAGGGATGTTGCAGGCTGGGTGGAGGCCAGGGGTGTGACAGGCCCCAGCAGTAAGCCCACTTCCTGTCTTTCCATGACCTGTGACTTCCCGCGGGGACCCCAGATCCCACAGTGCCTCGCCCTGTTCCGCATGGCGGTGGACAAGCACCAGGCCCTGCTGAAGGCAGCGATGAGCGGCCAGGGGGTCGACCGCCACCTCTTCGCACTCTACATTGTGTCCCAACTCCTGCACCTGCAGTCGCCCTTCCTGGCCCAGGTTGGGGTGCAGGGAAAGAGTTAGAGACAGAAATGGGGAACCACGGAGAAGGGAGGCTCGGAAGGGCAAGGATGGTAAAGTTGGACAAATGGGGCGGCAGCGAGGAGGAAGCCTGGGAGACTGGACAGGAGAAAAAGGGGTGGAGAGGGCGTGGCCACGGGAGGGGCGTGGTCGGATGGGCGTGGTCCTTCGGAAGGGGCGGGGCCGACGAGGGTGTGGTTACCTGAGGGGAAAAGCCCCACCGCAGACCTGGCACCTTTAGGGGCCGGCCGGGAGGAGGTCAGGAAGGGCCACGGCTGCATGGAGTGGGGTTGGGCCAGGGTGGCGTGGACCTGCGGGTCTGTGTGTCTTTCCTGGACGCGGGCCCGCCTCCTGTCCGGCAGGTTCAGTCCGAGCAGTGGCGTCTGGCCACCAGCCAGATCCCTGTGCAGCAGACGCACCTGTTTGACTTCCACAACTTCCCCGACTACGTCTCCTCCGGCGGTGGATTCGGGCCCGTGAGTGGGGCTGAAGCCTGGAGGGAGGTGGGGCTGGGGATCTGCGCTCCCGGGTAGTGGGGGAGCAGAGGGCTGGAGGCTGCCTGGGTCCTCTCTCCCTCCCTTCCAGGCTGACGACCACGGTTACGGGGTTTCTTATATCTTCATGGGGGATGACATGATCACCTTCCACATCTCCAGCAAAAAATCAAGCACAAAAACGGTGAGACACACGTCAGTACAGCCTTGTCTTCTCCCTCAGACCCAGGAATTCAGGGTGATTAGACAAAGAGGGCGTCAGCAAGGAGGAAGCCTGGGAGATGGGAAGAAGAAAAAGGGGCAGAGAGGACGGAGCCATAGGGAAGGAGTGTGGTGGGATGGGTGGAGGTGCAGGGAAAGAGTCAGAGACAGAAGTGGGGAGCCACGGAGAAGGGAGGGTAATGCAGAGCAAAGGGGGCCTCCAGGGCCTCCTCCCTCAGTCCTGGAGACTTTCGGCCCCCAGCCCCTCCCTCACTCCCGAATTCCAGGCCCCCCGGCTCTCCTACCCCAGACCCAGCCATCCGGGCCCACAGCCCTGTTGTCTTTCAGCCCCGAGCCTCTCCCAGCAGCCTGAGGCCTGATGCGTCTCTCCCTCTAGGACTCACACCGGCTGGGGCAGCACATCGAGGACGCCTTGCTGGACGTGGCTTCCTTGTTCCAGGAGGGACAGCGTCTTACTCGTGGGTTCAGAGGGCTAAGGGAGGAGAGCTCGGGACACAGGTGTAACTCTCTCCCTTACCACATCAGCGCCTCCAGGCCAGCCACGACATCCAGCAGCACTTGAGCCTTCCAGTGGGGAGCTGGTCTCCCTGGGAACTAAGGGAATGGTCGCTGTGGCTGGGCTGGTGCAGGACAGAGACAGCCTGTTTGAGTTTGGAAATCCCACGTCTGTCCAATAAAGGTGCGGGAGCTGGTGTGTGGTGTGCACTGTGCCACCGAGCTGGGCAGGGCGGGAGAGGAGCGGATCAGGTGAGGAAGAGGCACGAGCCTCTCCATCTCTGGGCTCAGCTGTGAATCCCCAGTTACAATCACAGCTTCAGCTACAACCCCCCAACACCTGCCCGTTTGCATCATTCCCCGCTTCAGCCACACCCACCCCAACCATCCGAGGACAGTCCCAACCTAGCAACCCCACATGTTCTCATCAGACCCCAACTCCAACAGCCCACCCCAAAATCAGCTCCCAACCTAAAGATCTGGCGTTAGTCCACCTACCGCCATTGACACGTTCCAAGAGAGCCCCTCTAGATGCCTATGGCTCAGCGGCACCCATTCCCACCTCCACTGCAACCACGGCTTCAGCCCTCATGGCTGGGAAAAGCGCCACCTAACGCCCATCACCCTGACTGCAGCCACGATCCCAGCCCTGCGGAAATACCCAACCCTGACTCCACCAACCCCACCAAGCCTCCCATCAGATCTCCACCACCACCCGAAACGGAGCAGAACCCCGAGTTCCGGCGTTAAGCAGCACGTAGCTTGACCACAGCCCCACTCCACTGAACACAAGAAGAGAGATCCCTGGTGGTTGCCAGGCGCTGGGAGGAGGAAGGAATGGGGTATGGGGAGGTTTTGCTTAATGGGATGATGGAACCTTCTGGGACAATAGACCGGGGTCATGGTTACATAAGCACTGGGTACAGTCAGAAGCGCGGGAGGGTGAGAGAATTCACCAGAGCCAGAGCGGGGAGCAGAGCAGGCAGAGGGACCTAAGTACACTGCTGAGGGGAGCAGCGGGCGGCAGGAGAGGTCTGCGCGCCATGTGGGACCCTCCTCTGGTGGCCTGGGAGCAGCCGGGGATTGAACCTGCGCCGCGGAGGCTGCGGGCAGCTTCGCAACCCAGCGCTCAACCGCTGCACCACCAGGGAGGCCCAAAGTGGCAAATTTTATGCTACTCGTGTTTTCCCACCATTTAATGTGCCAATCATTGAATTTGTCGTGACTCAGCAGTGGTGTTAGGGGGGCTCCTTGTGTGGCGGAGGTGGCTGGTGTGGATGCCTGGAGCTGGGGGTCGGCTGGGATGTTGCATGGCCATCACTCCAGGGTGTCTTCATGAGCTCTCGCCTTGATGGGTTTTATGGCAGCTCAAGGCTTCCGAGGCAGTAATGGAGCTACCAGCCCTTCTCAAGCTGGGATCTGGAACCCTCACAACCTAACTTCCACCACATTCTGTTCTGTTGGTTGAAGCAAGTTAGGAGGCCAGACGGAAGGGGGGTACTTGCGCAGGGAGTGATGCTGGGGGTGGCCCTTTGGGGCAACTCTTGGTGGCTTGCTTTCTTTTTTTTTTTTAAGATTTCTTTTTTATTTTTTTTATGCATTCAAGAACTGGGGTGTAGACCAGAGGTGAGGGGCGGGGTGAGAAGATGCAGCGGGCGAGACAGGAGAGGTCTGCTGCACCATGTGAGTAGCTCCCTGCACGGGGATCAAACTCTCATGCTGCAGTGGCTGTGGATAGCTTCATAGTTGCTCTTAACCCCTTGCGCCACCAGGGAGGCCCCAACTCCACCGGGATTTTGATTGGATGTGCATTAAAAACAAGATATTATTTGGATAGAACTGATATCGATGCAACATCTAGGCTAACTATCCAGGGAAATCATCAGCCTTTCACGCATCTAAGTACGGAATTGGCTTACTCGTGATTGCTGGTCCTTGGCAATTATGTGTGCTGTTATTTTCCCGGCTTCAAATCCAAGCCGCCAAGACAGGGCTTTGGGAATCTGGGACCTGGACTCTGAGCCAGACTTCCGCTCTACCCAACGCCTGTGTCGTGTGTGGCCAGCAGGGGACACCAAAGAGTCCCGCGGAGCCCTTGGAAGCAGCACAAGGACTTCCTGTTTGTTGTTTTTTTCTTCCCATCAGCATCAGCAGCAGTTCTTCATCCTGGCTCAGGCAGTTCTTTCCTGCTGCAGCTGCTCAGTGTAATTTTCCAAGTTGTGCACACGCTCAGAGATGCCCCGCTATTTCGCTAGTGTCCTGGCAGGTCCCGCTCCCTGGTCCTCTGAGCTGACCAGCGCCCGCTCCTTGTCTGAGTTTCATCCAGGCCTTTGTTTCCAATAATTCTAACCTTTATCTTTTGTTTTTCCTGCCCAGGGGAGCGGGTGGTGACTACTTCCTGCAGTTATCACCCACTGTGATTTGCTGGAAGCTTAGTGGCAAAAATTGAGGATGGAAGTTTCGCAAGCCCAGAAACCGGAGGTGGGGATAGAAATGATAAATGAGTTGTTAAACCGGCAAGGATGGAAGCCGGATGTGGGGACATGGAGAAATTTCGGTCATTACTAAGAGGATCACCAGTCCATAGCAATTAACCAAGCAGACCTGAGAAATGATTCCACAACAGGGCCTCCCTGGGGGCGCAAGGGCTTAAGACACAACCTATGGAAGTATCTGCAACCTCTGCAGCACGAGTTCAATCCCCCGCCAGGGAGGCTGAACCACGTGAAACAGCAGATCTCTCCTGTCTCCCTGCTGCTCCCCTCAGCAGTGTATTTTCAGTGGATCTGTCTGTTTTGCTCCCCACTCTGTCTCTGGTGAATCTTCTCACCACCACCCCCCCCCACACCTCTGACTTACACCCCAGTTCTGCTATACAAAAAATAATTAAAAACACATCTTTTGCTATTAAGAAGTGTCTGTCTGCATCTATGCAGACATGTCCCTTTTCCCTAATAAACTCGCTATATGCTGCTAAAAGGGGGACTCAGCTGAAATTTATCAGGGGCACCCAAGTACCCCTCTCACCCAACCTGAATATTATAAGGTTCTCCTTTTCCCTTTCGGTTACTTAGTTAACCAGTGCTTTATGCCTAAGTACTATCTCCGTATACAAAAACGTGTCTGCCAAGGTAACTGGTGTGATTTCTGTCTACAGGAATCTGCAGATTCCTGCCGTGGGATGCAGATTCTCAAGGATGGGGATTGAGAAAATTCAGTTGTATTCAGTGGCTAAACACAGGAGATCCAATTAATTTTAAAATATTTATTTTAAAAATATTTTAATGAAGGGCCTCTCTGGTGGCACAGGCAGTTGAGCGCTGCACCGTGAAGCTGTCCGCAGCCTCTGCAGCACGGGTTCGATCTAGGCTGGCAGGTGAGAATCCCATGTGGCGAAGCAGACTTCTGTCTAGCCCGCTGCTCCTCTCAGCAGTGTATTTCGTCAGTCCACCTGTTTTGTTCCCCGCTCTGTCTCCGGTAATCCTCTCACCCTCCCGCACATCTGGCCTGTACCCCAGTTCTTGCATAAAAATAAATACATCTTTGGGCCTTCCCTGGTGGCGCAGCGGTTGAGTGCTGGGCTGCGAGGCTGCCCACAGCCTCTGTAGCACCAGTTCGTTCCCTGGCCACTGGCGAGGGTACCCCCACCACACACACACAAAAAAAAATACATCTTTAAAAATTTTTTTAGTGAAGTTACCATTGTTTTACACCCTTGTTGGTATTTTGACAGCATAGGATTTCTGCCCACCGAAGCACCCACAGTCCCCCCACAGTCCACTGTGGTGCACACACTCACATGTGTGCGATTTCTTTTTTTTTTTTTTTGCAGTTTATTAATCCTCTTTCAGTATCAAAAAAGAGAAGGAATTCATGCCAGCATGAGGGGCCATTTATTGTTCAGGGGCTGGGCCCCCACGTTTTGGGGGAGCCCCCCCACCACTTCCTCCCCCCATTGTCCCCGTGGACCCCTCAAGTGGCAGGCTGCTGAGTTGATCGTGGAGGGAACACATCTTCAAATGCATATAGTCTAGAGCGGCCACCTTCTCCCTGTAAGGAGAGCGGAGAGTTGGTGCTGACGGGGCTAGACGCCACGGGGCTGGCATGGAAGGAGGGGGTGACTCAGGCCCTGTCCCCAAGATCTCACCCTCCTCCCATGCCCTCAGCCTCCTTCCTCACTCCGGCTTCATCTTGTCTGTCAGCAGCAGGTTCTTGGCCCTCAAGGCTTCGTCTTGGGCCAGCCGGAGGGTGGAGCTCAGGGCCTCTGCCCTGACGTGTTTGGCCAAGGCCTGGCGCTCCAGCTCCTGGGGAGAGGAGCGTAGGCGCAGCTGGGCTTGCAGGACTGCGCTGGGGGTGGAGGGGGAGCTGGATCGCGGATGGCAAGGGGCAGGGTCCCAAGGGGCCCATGTTCCTCCCCGAGGCAGCCCTTCACGCCTCAAGCCCGAGACTGAGTCCAGCATCCCACAATTCACTGGCCTTCCAAACTCCACAGTGCATGAAACACATGTCTGTCCCCTAAAGCACGGGCCTTCTATGTCCCAGGAAGCATCCAATCAGCAGCTATCATCTTGTCCCCTAATGCCCATGACCCATCATGCATTTGGTATGTGACTGGGTCCCAGTGTCCTGTCATGGGTGACCTTCTGAATCCCAGAATTCTCTGGTCCTCACATCTCCTTACTGATTAGACCATCATCTCTGCCACATTAGTAGTCCTTGCGCTCTGGTTGCCTTTATCCCACAGTGCACCAAGCCCCATGTCTTTAGCAATGCTCTGAGACATTCACTTCCCATGCTGCCTCACCTGTCAGTCTCACCCACTACAACATATATCCCATCAGACTTTAGACCAACATCCCATAATATATGAGCTCTCTGTTTCCAAATGTACCACACAGGCCTCGAGTTGCATTAGCTGGTGGACTTCAGTCTGGAGCAAGTCCCCACTCAGGCTGTGGTTCCTTGTCCCAAGATGCCCTTCTTCTGCTGGGTCCCCTGTCTGACCTCAATGACCCCATACCATGCACCACCCATCTTAAGGTCCAGGCTTATATTCCTTGACGCTGTAGATTGGTATCTGTCTCCTGTTGTCCCACAATGCACCAGAACCAAAGTCCTACCATGCTGGGGCCCGAGTCTATCACCCAAGGTTCTATTGTCACTGAGCTGTGACTCATGAACCCCCAAACAGCTTGTCCCTCCCCCACCAAGATGCATTAGCATCAA